CTACATAGTGACTATTATTGCTATACATGCTTTCGGCACTCTCTCAAATCTCGGATGTTGCCCAAACTATAATAATGACCGAACATTTAGAAATAAAATCGGGCAGGATTCCAGGCAATAGGGTGGGTATTGTGTGGATATTTTTTTTTTAAATATATTAAATTAAGAATTAAAATACACAATAGGTAGAATCCCAAACTGGAATTTTAATTATTAAAATTTCAGAACATTGACAATTTCGACGTAAGCAAAATATTTACTTTGAAAATATAGTTTCTTTCCTTTCTTTTTTTTCGAATGGAGAGTGAAATTTGATGTACAATATGCATAATTAAAATATATATATATATATATATATATACAATTGCAATCCTCAAATAATGAAATAATTTTCAGAACCAAGCTAATTAAAATAATTTTTTTAAAAAAACATTAGGGCTTCAAAGGTTTGAATTATTTTGTCATACTATTAAAGTCAGTTATTAAAACATCTTTCNATTTGAGTTCTAATATTGCTAGTTTTATTTTGGAAATAATAATAACAAAAAAAAGAAGATATTAATTATCATTCATTAAAAAATTGATTTGTAATTATAAGCAATTACACGCCGTGGTTCGTCATTGGGTAGGCAAGCTAGTATCCACGGCAGCAGGGTCCCAGAACCAAGATAAAACGTCTGTATGCACACACTATATTCTTTTATATGCAATGAAATCTGAAAATTAATGAGCTAAGACAATTTCGTACTTCACTGGACAAAAATGTATACATTACTTTCGAAGTCGGATTATAAGCATTAACTATTCTGGCTAACACTGCCGACATGCGTATCCATGTTAGTCGGTTTGATTACCATTGGGTAGCAGGTGATGCGAGGAGCTGTGCACAATGTGATTGACACTGTAGACAATAATAGTGTATCGTGCATGGACAAAAATAGTGCATCATCATAGTAAACAGAATGTTCCTTAGAATTATTAATTTAAAATTATCGAACGAATCCGAGTTCTCTGATTCCATAGTGTTAAAACATGATATTTGAAGATTCGAATAAGCACGGGAGAAATACAAATATGTTTGGAGGAGGGGACTTAATACAATAATGACCCTAGTCGAATTAAAAAAAATTTTAAAAAGAAAACTATTAGTCATAAAAAAATAAGTGCAGATTAGATTTTTTTGGATCCACCAAACTTTTTACTTTTCTTTGTTTATTAATAGTATGGAAATTAAGAAATTATGTGCAAGTATGTGTTTATGTTTAAAGCTTTTATTTGAAATTTTGCATAAAATCTATTTCTTTTTAAAGAAAAATAAGAAAGATCAGTGAATTATTGTTTAACAACTTACAGTTCAGATGTCGAAGGTTTGGTGTCAGTAAATTAAAGTCTTATCAGTTATCTAAAGTCTTTAATTTTTCAACTGGGCCTTCTGGGGGAATGAGTGGTTATGATGTTGCCTTCTGTGTTTGGTATAATGTGTGTTATACTGGTTATAATAACGAGAAGTTTGGCTCGGCCCTATCCGTGGAAGGCTCCAACTGAACGGCTATAGAACTGCATCGAGAGTCAGTTGTAATATGTGCTATTCAGATTACAATAACGAGAAGTTTGGCTCGGTTTTTTTTGTGGAATGCTCCAGTTGAGCGCCAGGCACGTATGTTAGTTATGGCTCGTTAACAGGCTTGAGCGTTAGTTATAATACGCGCATTATTGTTCATAATATCGAGAAGTTTGATTCGGTCTTCCCACCCGTGGAAGTAACTATAACTGGCTCGTGCGTTAGTTTTAATATGGGCTATACTGGTTATAATGATGAAGAATGTATATTTCTATGGTTATCTAAATAGTACAATCATAGTACGTGAAACTATCATTCGAATCCACTTAGTGAATTGTAAACTTTCACTTTAATTCAAACATCTCCCAGCGCAATTTTTTTAAAAAGAAAGCTGCGTTTATGCTTGAACGCGTACATGCATTTTTTTTAGTTTTATTATTTACGCGTGTTTTAATATGAACTTATAACTAGCAATTGTATAATATTGAAACACGTAAGAAAAAAAAAACCATTTTACTTTTTAAAAATTTTACTATGGTTAAAACAGAGAATATTTTAAAAATAACCTTTTTCTCTTCACAATACCTTCTCACCGATATCTTCACAATCATCTCTGCGAGGCTCTTAAAAATATTATAAAATATAAGCTTCATACTTTTTAATGTATATCCTCCAAAGAATTTTATGAGCGACTAAGAAATAGCGCACTCAAATAAATCTAAATTAGAAACTACTCATTTAATAGTAATAAAAAAAATCGAAATGACTGCTTTAAACTATGTTTATTATCTACATAATCTGCTCGTGCAAATATACGCACATTGCAAATAGTTCAGCAAAAGAAAAACAATATAATTAATAATTATTATTATTAAATCAACATCGATTTAATCAAAGAAAATCGCGTTTATATGCCAAGATACATGATAAAATGAACCATAATTTAATTTTTATTACTTACTGATCAAATTAATACAAACTATACGACGAGAATCTGGTCTAAACATTCTCAGGAAAATGAACAATGTATCTAGAGAGGAGCAAAATTATAATTTGAAAGGCGTAAATTGTAATAAAATGCGCACCCCCCTAAATTATAACATAAACACTAGACTCCATTGAATTATTTTTTTCAGTTTGTCTTTTACGTTTACTAACACATCTTTTCGAACTTGAAATAAAAAACTGATTTAAAACTTTTTTTTTTGTTGTTGGTAGTTTTATATTTCTGGTCAATTGGATGAGCTAAGAAAAGAGATACAAATGCTCTATCCTAGCAAACTTATACATAAACGATATTATATTTGCCTGCAGTTTTCTACTTAAAGGCTTTGAATGTTAACTATGTATTAATGAAGAAGAAAAAAAATTATTACAACTATATTAAAAAAAGGCTTTTAAATCCTTACAAATTATAACTATGTCTAAAAGAAATAGTTACAAACTATGACTATTACTTAAACAATAAATCCTTATAAGCTATTTCCTTCTTTTTTTTTTTTTTTTGGTTTTGTATAAAAAATATATTTTTTACCAACTATAACTATGCCTTAAAAATATACACTTACAAACCACAATATAACTATTCTTAAAAAAGTAAATCCATACAAATAACGATGATTTAAAAAAAAAAAAATCCTTTCTGAAATAAAAAAGTCTGATAAAACAACCAACTGACAATGTAATGTAAAACCTATTAAGCAAAAAAAATACTAACTATAATCTTAAAACGACACTATATATTCTTGCAATAAAGAATTATAAAATAAAATATTCTTTAAAAAAATCCCTCAAACAAAAAAATAAAATAAAAAGTTCCAAACAAATAACCTAAACCGAGCCTCATAGAATAGAGAGAGAGAGAGAAAGCAAAAAAAGAGAGAGAGAGTACGCGGAGGGTTTGCTTCCGCGCCGAGAGGAGCGGCGGCTGCCTTTCCAAAGAGGAAGAAGTCCTAACGGGGGTGGCCGACTTTCCCTCCGTGTGGCCAACAAGTGGCAGCCCACCTCAACATTCACAACAAAACGTTTCGAATGGAGATATACGTTGTTGGAATCTTAATTAATTTTTTCCCCATATAATTTTGTCGAGAATAACTATTAAGTATCCATTCCAAATTAACAACTTTATTTTTCAGTGAAATAAATTATGCAAAAGTATATAATTTTAGTAATAAAAATTTAACTGGGTTTAATAACATTAAAATTTATTTTATTTAAATATATTTTTTAAATAACATTACATTTAATTATGAATGAAAAGTAATTCATAGTTAACTATTTTTAATTGCTTGGTATTGAGTTGTTTGGTGCTTTATGAATAAGTTTATTGAGAGTATGTGAAAAATTATTAATTCTGAAACTTTCGTATTTTGTTTGGGGAAATATACACTCATTATGAAGGCTTTATGGAACGGTATTGAGTTGGCCAATTTTCATTGCAAATTTAAGTTTTTGGTATTTCAAGTTATGAAACTGCGATTATTTTTTTGCGAATGAATTTTCGCCCTATTTTTAAAGCAAAGTTTTTTTTTTTTTTAATTATTATTATTTCAGTTTAAATTAATTTCTCAGTCTTGATATCGTTTGAAAAAACTTATTCAAATTTTTAAATCTTTTGGAAAAATATCAATGAAATGAAAATCTGAGGGCCAAGTAATAAGTGCTAAGTGAAGTAAGTTAAAGCTCATAGTTTCACTCAAGTAGAAAGGGAAACTTTAAGAAATAAGTTATTCAACCCTATTAATTTATTAATATTGAAAAACGATGAAAAACCTACTTTAAATTTTTTTTTTTTTTTGGAATTACATCTTGACTTAAAAATTTGTGAAGGCGTATTCAAAAAATTAAAAGTTGAAACTGTTTCCAAAAATAGAATGGGTTATGTTTGGAAGAAAGTTTTTTAGCCCCCCCTCCGTTACCCTACTTATTTATGAATATATTGAAAAATAAACAAAAACTTACTTAAATAAAAAAAAAATAATGCATCCTTTTCACAAATTGTATATTCCATGCGTAGTCCGTAAGTTCACCATAACAACATACACATTGAGCAGCACAACACACATGCACAAAACAATACTCTTCTATACCGACCGAAACCCAACTAGCCGTCTTTGGGGCGGCATGCGAAATACAAGTGCAAAGGGGGTCAAAATTCGGAAGTAGAAAGCGGGGGGAAAAGCAGAACACTTCAGCGTACGCCTGCTCTTCTCTGATTGGTCGGTCGCGGCCGGCCCCTGCCAGAGATTTCACTCGTATCCGACTCTTGGCCGCGTGCCAAATTGCTGATTCTCTCACGGCTTCCCCCAAGTCACGAGGGCCCACAATTGCCCTTTTAAAGAATAGTGTCTCCAAAATGAATTATTCCTCTCTACTATTCTTTTCATCATTCGAAAAGAAATCGAACAGATATCACCGATACTCATATTAATCCCGATCTACCTGTGATCGCGCTATGGATACCTATGTTTATGTGCGTGATCAGTTTGGCGTCGAAAAGAAGATAAAAAGGCAGCCATATTGGGAAAAGAAGTTAATCTGAGATGCTAATGTAAGTAATGTTATGTTCTTCTATTTACATATTAGAACGTTTTTTTTTTCTTCTTTCATCTCCCAACATCGATCTTTCATCAAGATCTTTAATTTTCATTCCTTAGTTTGTGGCTGTACAATTTAAATGATGCTAAAATTGTTGGTGGAAGGTCGATGTTCGAGGTCAGTCCTGTCCCGCCCATTCTTTCTTATGGTTCCGCCCGAACTAAGTTCCAAAAACGCCCTAGGCCTGATAAAAAACGGATGCTGGCCCCATATTTACTAATGATAGGGTAAAAAAAAAAATTCATCTTGTATTTAGGGGGTACAAGGGGGGATTTTTTTAAGTACTCGAGATTGCCGTGTGTTATGACAATGTAGGAGCGGCAGTACTTGACTGTTGTGTAAAAATTCCACTGTCTTATTGTTTCTAAAAGAGTCACTAAAGTTAGCATTTTGTGCACCTGCGTTTTATATCTATGAGAAGCAGTATTTTAAGTCACTACAACTTCACAGGGCAGTTTTACATTACCAAATTATTGGGATTTTTTAAAAATACGTTATTGAAGCTGCTTCCAGAAATTGTATTCTTTACTTTAAAGCAAAATTTATTCAGCCTAGAATTGGCTGTAGTATTGTTTCATTTCAATTTGCAGCTAGTAATGAAATTTCGTATGCATCCATCATTTCACTCTCTATATCACATGAGTCTTTTATATTTCTAAATTATTTTGATTGACCATGATCGAAGCTTTCAGAAATTGTATTATGTAGCGAAATGCAAAATTTATCCAGGATAGAAGTTACGGTATAAGTTAAACGTTTGTTACTTTTTGAGTATTAATTAATGCAGGTAGAGATTAAATTTACGATTTCGAGCAATAACATGCGTTAGAAGTTGAACATTTGGTACTTTTTTTCTTCTTAAATAGTATCAATATTAAAATTTATTTATTTAATTTTGATAAGTAAGTTGTTTAAATATGATTATTTTTATACAAAACAGAAAGCTACTTTATTTTAATGTCGAATGTATACTTACTATCCTTTAAAAACAAATATTTTTTTTTTTTTGTTACTCGGAAAAGAGCGAAAATCTTATTTCCACAAATCGTATACTACAAATTTTGCATGAAATAAATAATACAATTATTGAATGCTTTAATCATGGTCCTACTAGATATTTTAACAATTTTGAATTATCCTGTGAAATTGTATTGATTGAAAATGCTTTTCTCCTAGGATTTCAATGCAGATGTCCTACTTTTAAAACTCACTGTATATTGCAATTAAAAAAAATTTAAATAAATTAACTGTTAATAATGCAAGCAATTTTCTTCTGCAATTTTAACATAGTTATTTTGATTGTTGTCTGCAAAATTTTGCTATAATGTTCAGTTTGAAATTTTTACTTTAAAATCTTGTATTCAATATGAAAACTGTTGTAAGTTGGTCCTTTTATTCCAATTGCATATAATTATATTTGATTTGATTTGTATAATATATATAATAAAATAATAGAAAAAATATATAGAATATAATTTGTATAATTATATTTGATGGTTTTACATATTTTATAAAGAAAAAAAATCATTTAATTAATTATTGCCTGAAAACTTTTTTAGGGTAATTTTCAAAAGTGGAGTTTTTTTAAGATAGATTTTCAATAATTATTAACCATTATTCAATTTTTATGATGTACTGCAAAGCTGTTTCTTTGTTTTAAAATTGTAAAAACGACACTTTTTTTTTTAAAATATTTTTCATTAATACAATACTTTTACATTAGTAAATTTTATTAAGGACTATTCTGAAGTTCAGCAAATTTTTTAGTCGATACATGTTTTTCATAAATGTTCATCAATGAACATAAGTGAATTTTTCTGTTGATTTTCAATAGCTCGCTAAAAAAAAGTTAAAACTAGAAGCAAACAGTGATAGAATTCATGCTAGTTGTATAGGTAATAGCTTTTGTATGGGTGGTGTTTTCTCCAGCATAAAATATCGAGTTAAATAATAGAATCTTTCGAACATTTTTTATGACGTAGTTCTAAATTGTTTAATTTTCTTTCCCTCCCGAGAATTTTTATGCCGATTTAAGGATAGCTTGGCACGTGTAGCATACATAAAGCCATACTCTGTGAAATATTCTAAATAAATCACGGAGTTAGTGCAGCATTTCTAAAATTCATTTTACCATAGAATTAATTTTTTAAAAAGATTTTTTTTTTTGCCCTTTTAAATGTTTTTTTTTTTCAATATTTCTCCCCTATATTGTTCAGAAGATATTTCTATGGTTTCGTTTTTACACTACTTTTTTTTTATGATAAGATTTTCTTTTATACTTATCAGGAACCCTTTTCAAACGATTTTTCTACACATCTATCGAACACTTTTAGAATAATTTTCTGTACTTCTTATTAATTTTATTTGTCTTTCAATTTTGGTAACGTGAATTAGGTACTGCATTAAATAAAGTATGGTTTTATTTCATGTAATACCCATTCTGTATTTATGTAATACCTATTTCAATAATCACAGTTGAATAATTATTAAAATTTTGTTCCATTTAATTTGATGGAATTTTTTATTATTATTCTTTTCACTTATGAAGATTACTAAATGACTCATTGTATTACAGTTAATCTTTCTTTGCTAAATAAATTTATATGCATGATGTAGTTACCATAGTAACATTTGTTGTTGCAAATTACTTAATTTATTATGAGAGAAAATCGTAAAAGAACCTATTGCGTAATGGAGATGTCTAACAAAAACAATTTAAGTAATGAACTCCTGAATATCTTTACGAAATTGCATTCAAATAGTGTAAACCACTTGTTAAAGTAGATTGACTATTTTTAACCAATATTTTTTTGTTCAAACTTCTTTACAGACTTAATACAGCTCACTTATATTTTGATAATGGAATGACAGATATTTGTTTTGGTGTTTTAAGATTTTAAATGCCTGATGTTTGGTATCCTATAAACTATTACGTTATGGGCGATACACATCTGAAAGAGTTAGATTAGGCTTAGTCAGAGTGAACTAGAAGAAAAATAATTTTAAGTTAAATAAAGATATTTTTAGGGGCTATACAAATATTACGTGCTGAGCCTGTTTTTGGCATTTTTGTATTCACCCTTTTCAACAAATTGCTAACCCCCTTCCACGCTGACGTAAATTCGTAACACCCTTCCCTTCCTGGTTGTTACTTTTGCTGTAGTAATCCAATTTCATGAATTTTAGGATTAAATCTAGATAAAAAGGTGTGAATTTAAATTAAATTTACGTTGAAGTTTCAAACCTCTTAGAAAGATTTCTTTCCTTAATTTTAGTTTTTATTTCAAAATGTGTCCAAGTGTTATTTTTTTACCAAATTTCTCAGTAATATTATTTTTTCATGCATTTTGAAAATAAAAGGACTATAGTGTCTTGCATAAGCGTTATATTTATTCCCTTTTCTTCTTTCCTTTATGTGCTTATTTAATATTTGAACGATCCCGTAGAAATAGTTATTATCATTTTTTTAAAACAAATTCGATGTATAGGGTTTCAATTATAGTTTTTTTTTTAATGATCATTATCCAAGTCAATTAATTTAACAGAATTTGAAAATCGCATCAGTAGTAGGTTATAATAAATGTTGACATTTTTAATATGGTAATAATATTTGCATAACTTGTTTATCGTTAGAAAACGTTTTGTGAAAAAATTCAGTAAATGACACACACTAGAGAACTCATTTTTTTGTTGCATTTATACAAGTACTTGATCTTACCTAATTCAAGTTTTATGGGGATTTCAAATCTAAAATGAGTTCCGTTCTGAAAGATACAGATTTTTTTCTTAAAGTTATATTTTTAGTTTCGTTTATTTTCTGTCTGAATGATTAAGTTTATAAAGAATGTATAGGTTAACGTACGTATGTTATTGTTAATGATCGAGATGGATGTTTGTAGACTTCCACTGGTAAATGTTGACAAACACGTAGTCGCTTTGGTAAATGTCCGAAGTTAAATGTCACTTGCATACGGTATACTATACATTTTCCCGGTATGCCATACATCAATGGTTTTTAAAGTTGAGTGTCACTGCCCGGTATGCTCTACATCAATGTTTTTTTTACGGTCAATTGTGACTGCCCTATATTCATTTAACTGGTACTCCAGACACTGATATTTCTCCTAATCTATCCTCAGCTGATATTAAAATATCGAATAAATACAATAATATTAACGAATCAATTAATATCAAATCGGATATAACAAATATTTCGAAGATTCACTAAAGCGACTATGTGATTGTTGACATTCTCCGGTGAAAGTCGACATTCTCTTGATCATTCACGGTAACTCATACACTTGTCTGCAATATCATGCAAATATCACTTAGACGAAAAGCATACGACTTAAACTTATCTCATAATAAACTGAAATGTATTATTGCCTTCTTTCTACCACGCACTATGTATCAGAGAAGTGGGGACACTTAGTATTCACTCGAGATTATTTTTAAAAAAATCAAGGTTCAGACTATATTAATAAATCGCATAAAAACTGTAGCTTGTGGAAAGAAACAGATTGCAGATTTGAAAACAGGGCTGCGAAAGTATCTAAAATTTGTCAAAAATCTCGGGCAACAAAAAAAAAAAAAAAAAAAAAAAAAAAAAAAAAAAAAAAAAAAAAAAAAANAAAAAAAAAAAAAAAAAAAAAAAAATGCTCCCCAGTGTAGTTAAAGTAGTACCAATTTTCTAAAAAGTCGGCAATTTCTCGAACACTTGTGACCATAACTGCCACACCAATAACAATTATTACTTATGTTCAAAATCATTTTCATAGTAGATAATACTTTTCTTTTTTAAAATTCTCAAAATCAAAATTTATACGTTAAAACATAAACATTGAAAATTATTGAGAACAATGAAAATTTTCCCACAACAGCCGTACAGGCAGGCAGCTATTTCTTTTGTCTAAAATAATTATTTTTTAATCTATTTGTAAAACTCATGTAAAT